CCAATGATGTACTCAAGTTGCTTATTTTTTGTAAAACCAAAAGTTGCTCAATTTACTAGCATTCATAGCAAAGAAAACCTGCAAATCTTCACATCTGAGAAGCAGCTCCAGAGAAAGTTTGGCAATTTTTGCCTGAATGATGCCAAAAACATTTAATTTATTATATGTAGCTTTGTTTCATAGGTTCATCATATGCACAATGAATTGCATTAGCTGCTTTAAACTTAGTGCGTGATATTTTTTGACCATGCCAGGTTTTAAAATAAATAGCATCTATCACAGATTGTTTAAGCAAGCACATATTTAGTGACAAGATGCAATCAGGCACCAAACTGTACTTTTCAGGATTGCAAGTTGTCTGGTGTGTTTGGGCTGAACTTCACCAATTTAGCTGACAGTTCCTTTTGACACACAGAGCCATAACAGCACTTAGGCTGATGTAGTCTAGGTGTGTCCTGCAGAGTACACTTTAATTTTGGGACCAAATAACTGACAAGAGTGACCTCTCTCAGGGGTTTGTCACAGTTGAAAACAGGTGTTAAGTATCTGAATCTGTAACAAGTATATCTTACGTCAATCCGTGTGTAAAAATGTGAACGCTGGAAACCTATGCCTGTCTTTTCTTTTTCTTTTTTTTGATTCCTTCCTACCACTCTCCAGCTGAACAGGCTGTTCTGGGCTGCCAGCTGGGCCCTGTGTGCACCTCACAAGGGAGAGGAAGACACAGCCAGACACAGCCAGAGAGCATTCAGGCTTGCAACACAGTCCCTTTCGACTCGCCTCACAGCAGTGATTTCAGCCAGGCAGAGATAGCAGGGAGAAAGAGAGAGGCAGAGAGGAAGAGGAGAAAGAAGGGCAAAACTAACACAAGGTGAGTCACAAGGTACGGTGCAAAAGGCAAGAGAAAAAACAGGAATAGAGCAAGTCATTAATTGTACAAATCAAGGAAACCCTAATCTACATCTTATTTGTTCTGTGTGAGCATCTAATACTCATCTCAATCCACATCCACAGCAGAGCACTGACTCCCAGTTCCGGGATGAAACCTCTACGTGTCTCACGCTCGACAACAAAACAATCTCACATGACTGAGAATCATTCAGTGCAGGCCTGCCTTTAACTTCTGAAATGGAGCGCTGGCTGCAACAAACCCCTCCACTGTGAGATACTGAGCTGCACACTGTGTGGCTATTCATGGAGATTTATTTAGCAGTGGTGTATCTTTGCTGGTTCATAAAGAACAGAACTATGGCGTATAAAGGAAATGTGACACCTGTGTGTTTAAGTCGGTATGTGCTCCTACAGCAAACAGTTGTTAAGAGTCTTTGGAAATGGGAACTGAACAGCAAGCGTCACTGATACTAGGTTAATATGCAGTTTTAAGGAAAGAGTTGGTGTATTATGCAGGTTTTTTTGTGTGCAATCTGCAAAATAAATACAAAATTCAAAATACAATGTGATTTTATTACACATATAAAGGTTTATCTTGTTTTAAATTAACAAAATTTAGCTAACAACAGTGCGTTCTGGGTTTGTTTTATTTCTTGACCATGAACTTCTTTGAGTTTTCACTTCATACTACATTACAATCCAAAGGACTGCTTGTGTGTTCAAGGCGTAGCATGGTTGCAATGTGATTGTGAAAGGAACTGAAAACACTGAGAACACATTTGTGGGTGTTGCACAGTCTTGTGTCGTTCGTCTGCACACAGTTATATTCACAAATAAACTGCTTGTCACCACAGTTGGTGCGAGCACTAAAAACATCACTGATCTGTCACCTCATAAAATCTAAAAACCAGCCCAAAGATAATCTTCCCTTCCTACGAATCATAAATTCAAATGGTAAAATAATTAATAAGCAATCAGTGATTCATAACACTGATTAAAGTTCTAGCCTTCCTGGGGTGATGACTGCAAGTCTGAATAATTTGAAGGGAATTCATTAATTTTAAACACAGGCTAAATTAACTGTGTCTCAGGGTAAGTCGTTAAATATCATTAAAGCAAACACTGACTTTTCTGATCTGAATTATTAGTGGTTTGTTTTTAAAAGACTATCAACAGGACTACACACCGAAAAAGAGAGCACCTACAAAGGAAACAAGCATTGATTTTAGATCCAGGGTGTGTGGTGAGAGCAGGTAGGTCACTGGGTGAACTTTATATTACTGATGCTTTACTGCGTCAAGCCCAAAACATATCCATAACGCTCAGCAGACAGCTGTGGAAGGAGGACTCCCCAAATAGTTTTATCTACTGTTACATTTAATTGAAAGATAACCCTCTAGCTTGAAACATCCAGCAGTTGCAATCACAAGCTGAATCAGAATATTTAATTTTCAAGTTGAACATGGCAAGACTCCACACAGCTACTAATGCAGACATTGCCTGATGTCACCAAAAATATTTACGTCAGGCTAATTGTTGTCTTAAAACTGTGACTATTGCTGAGTCAACAACAAACGAGGAAGACATTTTCTCAACAAATTCTTTACACTTCTTCCTCCCTTTGCCGTGAAATACATGTTCATGCTTTCAACTCCACATGGTCTCCTTTCATCCACAGCAACTGCAAGGAAACACGAATCCACTACAGCCCCCCTACCAGCCATTCAGTCTCCACCAGCGCCCCATATGACAGGTGCATCTGAGGGGAGTTGTTGGGACTTCAGAGCATTCAGGGCTCAGTGCAAACTCAATTACAGATAGAGCTATAATAGGAGGTATACAAGGGGATGCACTGAGAGAAGGGATGTGTGGAATCTCAAGGAAGTGCATCAGGCATTAGATGTGACATATTTGCTTCTGAGGAGACTGGGTTATTGTATATAATTATGTTTATCACATTCATAAGTTACGCATTTTATGATGGCTGACTTTAAAGAAGAAGCTGACATGTGGATGCTGAACTTAAATGACAAGCTACACTCTTTGGCCCTTAGGATTAGGATCAGTGTGGTCTACTTTTAATTGCTTACAAACAGGCATGCCAGAAAAAAAGCACTGTTGTACTAAGATCAATATTAAAAATGCATGTGTCTGTATAGTACTGGCATTTGCCCAAATGTGTAGAAGAATATATCATACTTATATTAGCTTAACAAAATGAAACTGCATCCCATAAAGCACTAACCTCCTTCCCTCAAACAGTGCACACTACGATTGTTGTTGTACAGTAAATATTTGCATGTACACACAAAGCTGGGTTATGGGTCCTTTCTGCGTGTGTCACCTGTATTACTGTAATACCTGAGTTTCAGGAAACAGAACAGGAACACGAGCGGAGTCAAGCGAAGTGACAGTTGGCACGTATTGCACACTGTTAACTGTGCATATCTACTGCAAGGAAGTATTTGTACTCGCACAGAAACAGGAGCTACTGGTGTCAACAATCCTATTCTTTGTGAACAGTAAACATTAGGCTAACGACAGCTAGTTTGCTGTTCCTGATACTAACAGTGCAAAACAAGAGAAATATGGACAATAACTCAGTTTGTGTCAACACATCTTGCAGTACACATTAACTGATAGACAGCTGTGCAATGTTAAAGCAAAGATCTGAGTTAGCTTTTTTAGGAAGGATGCTGTATGGTACACCCATTTGAAATGTTGAAATCAGGGTCAGAGAGGTTAATTTAAAAAAATATTTTATACAGCTAGTTTGTAAATGTAACAAAGCATTGATTTTTGCTGCTGTAATGAGGGTTTTCATGCCCAGCTAGTGCCACTGGTAAAAAGTGTCAATGGAGTCATTGAGGATACAAATTCAAGTTCATTCAGGCAACGCTTCACGGTAGACATATCAGACATGTTAGACACCCACGCACGCCACCACAGACTTCTCAAAACAATCCCTGCTGGTCCCTCCCTCATCATGTGACAATAACAGAACTTCAGCTAACAAAAACATAGCATTTACTAAATGTTACGCAATCAATGTCACAATCAACACTGTGCCAGAGTGTGTGACTCGAGAAAGATTTAAGTCAAAAGATAAATTCCCAAACAAATATTCACTTGTCAAAACCTACATATAGGCTACACAATGAATGGTTATATCCTGTGTTGTTATAACAATCAACAAAAACTCATTATAGTAAGTGAGTTTAAGTAGCTTGAACTAAGCTATTCAGCTATCAGTGTTCTTACAAAATGAACTTGACTGTATGTGGTAAGCTCCTGAAACAGACTGGGTGATGTGATAATCAGTGCATTGTAATGTAATACTGAAAAAGTTAATATGCCACAGAAAATCGCAGTACAGTTGCCATAAACCACACTACAAGCCTTCTTTATGTAGGAACAAAAATAATGCACACCCAGCTTAACAGTGGCAAATACATAATGGAAACCAATGCATGTTGCTTGAGAATTTACAGTAGTCTCACAGTATGGTTGTCCCCCATTTAATCACGAGATGTACTGTAACGTTACTGGTTTAATTGGCTTTCTGGTCTGCACCACTTAATCTGGATACAAGCAAACCTGCTGCATGTCAATGCAGCCAGTTAAGCCTCATGAGGCCTCGGTACATTTCAGAGCCTACAGCTCTTTAATATATAACTTAATTAGCGGTTAACATAATGTTGTTTAGCTCAATAACGATAGGCTAGCTTAATGTAGCAAGCTCAACTTATACCCCAGTTAGCCCTTACAAACATGCCTTACGTTAGCAAAGATAGCTTCTCAGCAGTCATCGATTCAAAGTCCGACAAAAATGTTTGACTGCACAGTGACCAACTGGCGAAACTGTTACCTCGCCATAAAGCAAACTGCTATGTAAAGGTGTTGGCAGTAATTTGGTGAATTACCCCGATAACTGGCCCTCGCTGAAGCCTTGAAACAGGCCATTACTGTATGTAGCAAGGCTAGCTAACGCCTGCTAGCCATGCTACCCTGGCAGTTACAACCAACAAACAGGTATTTTGTTCGTAACTGAAGGGACTGTGGTGTTAAACCTTGACGGTAGAAGTGTGTGCAGGTGCCAAATAGCTTACCTTTATTCCCACGGTTGTGTTTATTCCAATGGCGGTTGGCACAACATTGCACTTTCCCAATAACATCAGCAGCCAACAGCATCCAGCCGAGCTGTAAACACAAGCCCAACCAACCCGCTGACACCCACACTGCGCATGCGCCTGTCAGTGCCCCTCTCGTCTGTGATGAGGGAGGGGAAGCGTTGGCATACCTAATGACACGATGCTCACACAGTCCGTGGAGGCAAGTCCAAGTCAGGTCCCAAGTCACTCGAGACAAGTGTCGAGTCCAATGAGAGTGTCTCAAAGAGTCTCAGCTTTTCAGTGCAGTTTTCGAGTCCTCAGGGCCAAGTCCAAGTGAAGTCAGCACTTTTCAGTAGCAGGTCTTACTTGCAAGTTAGTTTTAAGTCTTTTTTTAATCATAAGTATGTATTAAAGGAGCTTTTTGATATGGTTTCTCTCTTTAATGTCTCAAGTCTAATTGTATATCTAGGGAGTCAAATATTAAAGGAATACTTCACCCACAAAATGATCATGTGTGTATCAGTAACTCACCTACTGTTACCTTGAATTTGTTGTGAAAACTTTGTTTTTATCGCACGCCTCTACTGTGAACGAAGAATCCAAAAACTGAGAAAATTCTTGATGAATTGAAGTAAGTCTCATTTGTCCAGTCATATACTCAGTGCTTCCCAAACACATACATTTCCATTTAAACCTTACCACTTAAAAACTCTCTGCATAAGAGTAGTGCACCTTGGCAAGCCATGGATTTGTAAAGAGAACTGGATACAGTGTTGGAGATGTGGCTACTTTGAATGAAATGAAAGTTTCTCAGTGGGGAATGAAGTCAAAAATGTTCAGTTTCTGGGTATAAAATTAGCCAGATCTTTTGTATCCATGGATCCATAGAGTGCACAGGTGTTTCCTTTAACCCAGCCTCCCACCTGCTCGTTCTCGGCTTGCTCACAAATAACAACAAAATAACTTTGTATTTGGCTATTAGAGAATTTTTAAACTTTAGGATATAATGATTTAAATAAGGGCTATGTAAGTGTTTGTACTAGGAGGTTTATGTACCTAAAAGAAAACTATCCACTGATTTACAGAAGTCTCTTTCACAGTGTGCATCATGTGATGGACATGGGAGTTGTAATTGCACTGTTTGGCTGCTATGTAAAATAGGCTTCAAAACCAAATGCAGTTCCTGGGGGATTGTGTTCATTAAGCAGAGTTACTCTCCATGCATAAGACCTTTTTAATGGACGTGTTTTAAATTGTAAGGTTATGGCGAAAATGCGTGTGTTTGGGACATACTGAGCATATGGCTGGACAAATGAGGCTTGTATTATACTGCAAGAGTTGCGATATACAAATTATCTTTTTGTGGGTGAAGTATTCCTTTCAGTAAGTATCCCAGCCATAAAGTCCAATTTGTATTTTTCTGACATACCTCTGACTCAAGGCTACAGTCCTTATTGCTCCAGACAAATGCATTTCAAATGTGTGACCTGTCTTCAGGAGAAATGTTGACCCTAGAAATATTAACTGTAAACTGGGATTTGACTGCTTTAAATTTTCCTCTTTCATTGGTAATTCATATCTTTAAACTGTTCAACCTGCTACAGTATTTCCCAGACCCATGAAGGCACCAACACTGCTCACCTTAATGATTAATCAGTCACTCAGCTCATATAACAGTTACAATATTTGTAATATATTTTCTCTCCCATCTTTTTTCTTGTAACATGCCTCCTCACCCATGATAACCCATTGCCTCAGCTCTAGTATAAACTCACATAATTCAGCAGTTTGAGCAGCGGTCAGTTATGAAAGAACATACCCACTCTTCTCACTGTGTTGTGGTCATGCCGGCCCATCCTGTCCAGCCTGTCAGGGTTTGTTGTTTCATCAGAGTTGGACCAGGTCACAAGGTCATAAGCATTCCTCTTCTACTTTTTAACGTAATAAACCCAAGTCACTGCAGTGGAGAGAAAGCTGCTCACACACATATATGTACATATACTCACAAAGTTAGGTATTAGCAGATTGCTGAAGGACAGTTTAACACTGACTGTAGAGACCACTCATTTAATACCCTCTCTGATTTTTCCCCAGTGAGTTTTACAGATTTTTAGCACCCCCTTGTGTTTTGTTAATCCTCTTGTTTCCTGATGAGATTTAAATACTACGCTTTAGGTCTCATACAGTGTCTCTCTGACCAGGAAATCCAGGAGTCACGAGTAAATGTGAATAAAGTGTATGAGTGATAAGCTGCTGCAATTTTTACATAATTAGTGACATGGTTTCGGTATCTATGTAGTTCAGAGGCGCTCCAAATTGTGATGACTAAGCGAATTTGCATGTGCATGTGATTGAAGGACGCATGGGAAAAGTGAAGTTACAGGTTGTCCATTAAAATTGCTAACTTTTGCTGACAGCACTAGCATTGATGACGGAGTCTTACTCCCTTGTCACTGCAGTAAGATGCCACTGAGGTTGCTGGGTTTAAACCAATCCGACAGCATCCAGTCAAGCTGCAGGAGAGAACCATCAAGAGTCCAACCATTAAAGTTGGAAAAAGTAATACTATAGGTAATTTCATTCATGTATAAAACCTTTGCAATGCTCAACAAAAAACAAATTACAGTGTGCAATACATGTGGGTCAAAAATTAAAGATGGAGATGCAGCAACTTCCAACAAACTTATTACATTCCATTTAGCAAAGAGCGCAATTTAGGACTTACAGGACTTGAAACTCAAAGTTTAGGACTTGGGACTTGACATGGGACTTGTCTGACTTGACTTGGGACTTGAGTGCAAAGACCTCAGGCTTATTTATGACTTGCATGACAAGTCAAAGTATTTAAATGTACCGTGACTGGTTAAAATCAAATGCATTATTTTATTTCATGCTTGACTCACTTTGAGCAACATTGATGGAATTAATCATTTCAAAAGGGTAAAATCACATCACAGTTGCCTTTCAAAAGCCCAAGAGAAAACTCACTGGTAAATGTGAATAATGATGACAGGATTCACAAGGAAACATCATTTCTTGTTGGTTTATTATGGCATGCAATTTCATGTGCTGAAATCTTCCTTTTTATAATTCCATCTCTCAGTGCAACACAGAAGCAGTATGCTGCTCGGCCAAGCTGTCTGTAAGTCAGAGTAATACAGATGAACGAGCCAGAAAATGCACAGAAGAATCAATCAGTCAGTCAAACAATACTCAGTTTCATCAGTCATCAAAAGCACAAAAATCATCATCATCATGACTCCAGTCCTGCATTACCGTACAGTAAGTAAAAGGGAAACCTTTCACAATGTGATATTTCCAAGGAAATAAATGGAATACGTAACAGTATTATTCATTATGGGGACATTTTAGATATGCTGTCTCTTAAGGAGTTTATTTTCCTCATTCTGAAACATTACACAACTGCCCCAATGATTTAAACATTTAAATATATCTAATTATCACAGGTTGTATAAATGAGCGTCTATACTATAAGTCCATCTAATGATGGTGCCAGACTGTATACAATGACGGATGTGTACCATCTCTTAATAGTTCATTTACATTTCAATCGAACAATAGATTCGCAAATAAAATGTCTAATACAGACATGAATAGTCAGAAAACATCAGTTCATATGTTTCACAATCAACAAACAGGCTTTTTTTCCCATAGAATATAGAATAATGAGACACTTTCTTTGTCTAATAAAAAAATCTCCAAACAGTTTCAGCAAATTCTCAAATTCAAAACAAAGAAGCTGACTTAGAATATACCGAGGAGGAAAAAATACCACAACAACAACCAAATGTGGTAATAACAATAATAGTCATAATAATATAATCTCTATCAAACAAGAATTAATTTTCATGAGCAAACAAGTAAAATGCTGCAAGCAAACTTCAGCACTTGAACGTGGCCACACAGTGGGCATGTGCAGAACTCTTACAGCGCTGGGTGTGTTGTATCACAACTACAGAATCATCAATACTCCTCCGCCATCACAAGAGGGACTATATCGCATGCATGACGCAGGATGCAGGGTACAATGGGGTGAAGGAAAAGTTGCGGGGGCGGCAGAGCGCACCCACTGGCAGTGATGGGGTGGGAATTAGTGCAGTGCGATTAGCCACTACAGCGGTGCTCTATAGACACTTTAAAGGAAACAGGGAGTATCACTTTGACGTTGGTTCAATACTCACAATACTGTTTTTACATACAGTAGTGCCAAGCCCTTTCCCATGGGAACAGGAATAGCAAAGCTAATATTGATACTGAGAGGCAAAAGAAAACACTGGCAAAAGTAAACACTGGCAAACAATAAAATCTCTAACCCATGTATGCTTTGGGTGAAAGGGTCGGTTATCAGCAAGTGAAATCCAGGTAAACACTTCCACAGAATATCTAAGTGATGAATATAGAAAAGTAGCTGAGCAACTTAAGTCTTCCCTGAGCGATTCAGACAGACAAGGATCTAGCCTCCTCTAATGGAACAAAGCAGAACTGCATGAGAAGTATCTCACTCCTTGGCTCGACTGTGCCTCTCCCCCTCCTCACGCAGTTTACAGTCGAGGAATATGAAAAGCCGTAGGAAAATTGCAGGGATTGATTGTACTGTACTGTACACAACATGGCACTTACATGACTTCAAAGGTGAAGTTGTAAACAGATGCAGAGCGACAGTAGGTAGCTGAGCTAATATCATGACTCGGAGCAGCAAAATCCCTGTGCCACCTCGAACCTTTCTCAGCTCAGAAACAAATCCCACAAAACAGAGTTTTCTACACTGTATTACACGCTCCCAGCATGTGTTGGGTGGAGAGAAACCTCCCAAAAAGGTCACCAGTCCATTATTTAATTGTCTTAACTTGAAACTCAATAAGCAATCCTCACACGTGCAGCCACTCTGGCATCCTCTAAAATGGGATTTAATGTATAATCTGAGAGAAACATTTCCGAAAAGGTGCAGTAGCTTAGGTGAGAGGAAATGAAAGAGGAAGCTGGAAAGATTCAAATATTACTCCGCCCTCCTCTTCTCATTCTACACAAATCTCATAAGATTTAGATTAGGGTGTAAACAGACTTTAAATCCTGCAAATCCAAAATGGGTTAATGTGTTCACGCTGTTTATTAAAGTTATCAAGATGAAGCCACACATGACAGGATGCCTCATATCTATAAAAGGCAGTGAGGCAAGGCTGGACTACATGGAAATCAAAACCATACTGCACAAAATAACAGTGAACTAGACAGTGTACTAATGGTGGAGCATTGGACGGCCGGCGAACACAGAGAAACGTTAGATGAGACCGATCAGTTTTGTCTCCGCGATGCAAAATATAGCAAACAAAACAAGAGCAACAAAGATCCTGATACAAAATACCTCGACGAACAACTTCACAGAAGTCAGCAATGCGTAAAACAAAAGAAACTGAAACTTTTTAAAAAGTCAAACAAAGATACGGCGTGATGAAACACAAGTAGTGTCCCTCACTTTTTTTTAGGCTTCAAGCTTGAAATGCATGACCTCTGAATATTAGTTACATAGATGTGACAGGACTGGAAAGCACAGAAAAATGCCATGAGCTTACAAAAATGTGATTTCCAGTTTACATGAACGATAACGCATATGAAACAGGACAGGAGTCCGTCAACAGGCATGAATAAAAGTCATTGTAGAGAGCCAACTGTTTAGGTCTGTACAACACCAAGGAGAGAAAGGCCACTGTATTGCATGTTGGTGTCGAATGTGTGTGAATTACAGCTTGTGTTCACGTGTGTGTGTGCGTGTGTGTGCGTGTGTGTGTGTGTGTGTGTGTGTGTGTGTGTGTGTGTGTGTAAGATAGAGCAGTGAGTTTGTTCCTAACTTACAGTCAGCAGGATTAAATGTCAGGACTACTACAGGCACACAGAAATGAAACAATAGTTTATAAGAGTGATTGTGGGTTCATGTGGCTTGTATAGAAATCTACTGAATTAGCTCCATCTGCAGCTGAAAATATAATTTCAGAATTTTGTAGAATTAGTTATGCAGTGTGAGGAGTATGGTGTGGATCACAGAAAAGTTTACACACATCTTTATTTTGTTGTCATCCTCCTGGCCTCTACTGATCATTTGTCCCCCAGTGATTAAGGATCATTTAAAAACTTAGTTTATGACTGTGTGATTGTGTTCTGTGATCTCATGACAGCCGAAGGAATTTGGAGATCAACATATGACTCATAGAAGATAAGAGCTTGTTTGGGTATCAGCATAGTGAAGACCTCTGTTTTCAGCACTTTTTTGAAAATTTCTTGCAGGGTTTGAGTTCCCTGCCCATTTTTCCTCTCAGTATTGTAACATTTATCTCTTGATTTTTTTAGGGAGCACTTGTGAAAATACTTTAAAGGGTAACTTCAGCATTTTTCAACCTGGATCCTACTTTCCCATGTTTTAGTGTCCAAGTGACTAATGGAGACAACAATTTTTGAAACTGGTCAAGTATTGACAGAGAGCCTTGTAGCTGCCAAACAGGCTGCAATGTAATCAATTGGGGCATTTGTGCACTGTCAATTTATGTCCACTTAAAGTGCTTGTTTTTGCCACTGACAGGCTCAGATTATTAGGCCTATTCTAACTGTCAGACAACATTATGGAAAGGGTCACTGAAGACTAAGATCCTTTTTGTTTATCAAGAAACAGCCCTGAAATCACCATCGCCAAACCCACCAGACCCCATTTAAATAAACAGTAATTTTAGTATGTACAGAGTCAGCATATGTTCACATCTAACTGGGTGAATTTAGGGTTTATTTAAACAAAACCAGAGTGTGGTGATTGTTGGGACAGTAGAAACACACATCAAAATGTTTTTTAGTTGTATTTTGTTTCTGTCAACTTTGAATGGAGTGTGTTTTACAATAATAAAATAAGTGTGTTTTTTTTAATGGAATCTGGTGGGTTTAGCGATAGCAAAGTTTGGGCTGTTTCTGCTTAAATAAAAAAGATCTTACTCTTTAACAAAAAGGTCTATCTCTGTAGGAATCCTTTCTGTGATGCCCAGTTCAGCGACGAGACAAAACCGTTTTAGAACTTTGCAGAGAAAAGTTGCAGTTCTGAGATCAGCTCAAGCCAGCTGATGGTGTCACCTGCAACTCAGCAACTCAACTGCAGCTGGTCAAAGAAGTACAAATTATGTTCAGCAACAAAATAAGCTTGAAAAGCTGGAAATCAGAACCGAAGTACAGAGAGTTGTTGCATAGAGATGATACTCCATCTTATCTAGTTGCATTGGTGTGAACCAGCAGGTTTTTAGAGCATTACAGAACGGCACATTGCAAGTAGCTGCACATTCGTCTTGTCGCAAATGTTTGGTCTGAACTGGGCATCATGTTGTCAGAAATTTACATTAACAATCTGAGCATGTCAGTGGCAAAAACAGACACTTTGAGTGGACGTACACTGACGATGCGCAATTGCCCATTTACGTTACATTGCAGCCTGGTAAGTGACTGCCAGCTGCAGCGCTCTCACTCAGTACAGGACCAGTTTTGAAAACTCTTGTTCTCATTAGTCGCTTAGACACAAAAACATAGGAAAATATGATTCAGGTTGAAAAAAAAAATGAAGTTACCCTTTAAGATGTAAAGAGACAGCAAGACATGAGAAATAATCATCAGATATTCACAAGGTAGCAAAAAGGTTAAAAAAAGTGATAAATAATGTTACTGTTTTGCTGACATCTTTTTAGAAAGATGAGTGTCTCTAAACCAGCTGTTCGAGAGCAAATTATTCTCATAATAGTAAATTAAACTCATTACATTATAAGAAAAATACTTACTGTAGCAAGAACTCACTAGCCTAGGTACACAATGACAGGATTTGGTAGGAAATTTAGTATAAAAATGTTGGGATCTCAGTCCCTGCTGTCAATCCACACTACATATAAAAAATTAAGAATAGTTAAAGTAAAACATCAACAGAATTCCTATAGTAAAGTTAAAACGTGGCATGAAAACTGGCACCTACTGTAGAGGCTTCTGCTTTCTGTCAAACCATTAGTCTTTGTCCACCAAGTTAAATGACAACAAAGTAGATGATGTGTAAACCTCTTGCGTACAATGTCATGTGAAGTGAGCAACCATGTGGTGAAGATGCTATGAGATCTCCAGCCTTTCTCCTAAATGTCACCAGGATTCAAACTGCAAACATGGACACAAGTTAAGCATCTACTGTAAGGGCAAACTGGTCATGTGCCTTACTGGGCATAAACAGTAATATCACTAAATTCTCTGTGGAGCTGTACATCGGTGAAAATCACCACCGAAGAGGCAGGACAATGTGTTTTCTCTTGCCCCTGACGATGCGGCGCAGCATACACTGTTAACCCATATCTGTCAAGTTTTATTTAGGCATATGATTGACATATATGAAGGCTGGAATTAAATGGTTTTCCCTTTAACCAGGCTCTGGTTGCAGGCAAGCGACTCAGCTCTAGCTCGGCGCAGGTCAGTGTCTGACTTTGTGTCCCCTTAGCTTCCATTGAGCAGCATCTCTGTCCCGGGCGTGTCAGGACGAGCATCCCCCAGGCGAGGAGGTCCAGTCCGCAGTACAAGCTTGCCGACGGCCAGGCCTCCTGAGACCAACCCTCCAGGAGACAGAGACTTCCTGGAAAGAGAGGAAGGAAGGAAAAATTTGTAATGAAAGGGGCAAATCAAAGTCAAGTGAAAGATGACTGACTGAGGATGATCCTGTGAGACATCCGTTACCATGGTAAATCACCTGAAGGCCATCTTTTTCAGCAGGTGAGCATCCATCTTTTCTGACGAAGGACCCTCTGTTTGGGAGTGCTCCTCCACGGGAGAAGCAAGGAGGGGAGAAGAGCAGGGTGGTGGGAGGAGGTGGGAAGCATCCTGAGACTGTGGGGTGGCCAGGTCTAAAGACTCCTGGGAGCCAAAGACAATTAAAAGAAGATGATTAGGAGGTTCAATTGCACTGAAAAGCATCAAGTCCTTCACTCCAAATGTTCGCACTGAAATTGGACAATTCCAAGCTTCAAAACAGACACAATCAGACAACACTGTGGTGCGATTTACATAATCATACCAACCTGAGACTTGATCTCCTGGTGGTCTGAATCTTCCATGTCAAGAGCGCACAGTTCCAGCTCAATGTCTCGATCTGGGTCTGGTTCGCTGTCGGCATGGCCTCGATCCCGGCTGTAGGCGGCCTGACGGGCTTGCAGATCAGACACAATTTTCTCTCCACTGCTTAGTGATGAGCGACGACCATGAAGCTCTGATGCACAAAGCTGCTCACTAAAACACACACAGACACAAAGAGTTTTTAGTATAGTTCATAGATATTGTAAATTCTCTTGGTATCAGTATCTTCAGTAGAAATTGTTATTATTACATTCTGCATGAATGGCCTGGTAATTGGACACAACACTGCAAAAATTAATATGTTCATTAAAGTCATGTCATTATGTTGGAAAATATTTTGTACATTGGAGACATCCACGCAGAGGGCTTTCCTGACTTAGTTTCTTGGCTGCCAAGTGGGGTTTTTACCGACCAGCTAGCAGCACTATTTTTAGTCTGACCACAGAGAGGAAACGACTGCAGCACAATGAGATAGGAGAGAGGTATGAGAGAGGATGAGTGGGAGAAAACGTGTTAAGAACAATCAGGATTGAACTTCCACGTGTGCCCCAGGGGGTTTAAACAGAGAGAAATCTAAGCAATGCTGTGAAATTGCCTTAATCATTTTCACATCTTTTTTTTCTCTCGTAGCAGGTTGTGAAGTTAAACATTTGGATTGTTTCCTGTTTAATTCTCACGTCTTTGCATGTGGACTTTGTCTGTTTCCCTATAGCTCAACATGTAAGACCTGGAGGACAATAAGGAAGGAGGGAAGGAAGGAAGGAAGGCAGGAGGAAAGGAAGGAGGAAAACAGGATGCATTGTACCTCTCTAGGAAACTGGAGTGGCTGGAAGAGTCTGATCCTCTGGAGCTCCATCTGTAGTCACTGTGATCCAAGTGGTGGTTGTAATCTTTACAGGAAATACAAAGAAAGAAAATGTCACTGATGGAGACAAAGTCAACCTTATAATAATATAAATTAAATGTGTATCACATTTTATGCATCCGTATATTAAATACAGTTTTAAAGGACAGATGAAGGACAGTAAATAAAAAAAAATTAAAAAAAAAGATTTTGTTTTTCTTGCATGCTTCTGGTGAACCATGACTACAAAAACTGAGAAAGTTCTTGATGAATTGAAGTCATGGCAGCCGCGATTAACAACAGCAAAACTATATCAAAACATCCGTTTACAAACTCTCACACAACTCTTGCAGTATAATCCAAGTCTCATTTATCCAGGCGTATACTCAGTAGTTCCCAAACAGACAGCCCTTTCCAACGGGAAACTGAAGTGCAAGTAAAACTTAATCAGTGCTCTCTTCAAAGCCAGACTCCATTGACAGAAACAGCAATTTTACCTTGCTGAACACAGGAGCTGCTGGTCTACCGTTGCCTTGATTGGTTTTGTTTTTAATTATTATTTTATTACTATTGTGTGACTTCAGTGTTTTAAAGGGACAGTTTGGATTTACCAAGGTCACAAAACAACACAAACAAACTACCAATTGAGGCAGTGGTAGACCAGCAGCTCCTGTGTTCAGCGAGGTAAAATTACTGTTTTTGTCAATGGAGTCTGGCTCTAAAGACGGCATGCATAAGTTATGCTTCTAGTTAGGTTCCCCATCGGAAAGGGCTGTCTGTGTAGGAGGTACTGAGCATACGACTGGATTAATGAGACTTGGATGATAGTGCATGAGTTGTGTGAGAGTTTGTAAATGGATGTTTTGATGTAGTTTTGCTATTTTGGATTTTTTTTTAACCACAAATTCACATCTTCACAAATTCAAGGTAACAAGTAGTAACTACGTGACATATAAATGGTCGTTTTAGGGTGATGCATTCCTTTATATAAAATAAATAAAGCCAAATAAGAAACAAAGAACATCATCATGTTGACATTTGAATAATTAAAGACTTTAATGACTCCTAACCTTTAAAGTTGATGGGTGTGGTGTTGGCGCTGCCCTGGCAGGCTGTAGCTTGGATAGGGTCGGTGGTGTGGTAGCCTGTGCGAGATGCCCTGGATATGGCGCCCCACTTGGAGATAATGGGCCCCTCGCTAAAGGGAATGATCGGATCCTCATCTTTTAAACGCCGGTAGTGATCTAATGAATGCAGCCATCGCTTCCCGACACCACTACCACTTACGCCTCCGCTCCCACCTCCGTTACTGTCCAGCTCCTGCATGACAAAAACATGGACCCTGTTAGAACACATCCATACACTGCCACAGCGATATTAAAATAAATGTCTTCAGCTGTGTGTCTGCGCCTACTTGTGAACGTGTGAAGAGTCTCACCGAGTGCTCTGAGCAGGAGTGAGCCGAGGTGTGCGCGAGCGTTTCAGGCTCAAAGGGGCTGAGGCAGGGGCCAATGGTGCCACAGGACCACGGAGAGTAGTGTGCTAAGCTTTCCTCGCCTCTGAACCTGCACCCCACACACTGGCCTCCGCTGCTCTCCACATGCTGAAAGAGAGGACATTAAAAAATGATGCACACTTTTGCAAACTCCACCAGCTCTCTGGGTGGGGTTTGCATGTTCTCCTCATGCCTGCATGGATTTTCTTCCAGGTGCTTTAATTTTCTCCAAAAACATGCAGATTATGTGGAGACTAAACTGCCCAAAGGTGTGACTGTGAGTGTGCATGGTTGCTAATGTCACACGTGAACTGAATATTAAGCATAAGGTGTAAGTTTTAAGCTCATTCACCTTGCAGCAGCCTCGGTTGCTTGCTAATTTGAATTTATGCTCTCACCGCCAGCACTGACATGCTGCCACTTTGCTGCCATCGCTGTGGCAAGCACTGGACATCGTTAACTAGAAATCGCCAGTCTTTTCACCCATGGCTTTGCTTGCTTGTGCTTGTTATGCAGAGGCATCAAAATTAAATCAAGATCAGTGCGCAAACACTTTAAAAGTCCTCGCGGTTTCTCTAATCAGCGCTCAATTTTAAAGCGGATGCCTTCACAAAAACATATCTGACGTGCCGTTAAACAAAGCTTTACTCAGCTGAAAGCCTGAGTCACTGCTTGTTAAAGTCTCTCCTCTCGCTTTCTCTCTCTCTCTCTCACACACACACACACACCCACACATGCACACACGCCACAATTGTGCATTGCTATGATATCTCCCTCCACAGTTGCTAAGCAACTATCTCCCACTTAAATAGCATTGGGCACAGATGAAGAGCAAGCTTTTGGGATAGGAATTAAATCCTACATATTTTAAAAATGGTATTATACACAAGCAATTTATTACTCCCACTCTCAGGTGGCTGCACTGACACTATTAACAAACTGGTCGTGGCAGCATTTTAATTGTCGCCGTCACGCCTATAAATGTCCTCAACAATGCTCCGTGTGTTTGTGTGTACAGTGTGTTGTCTCTGTTATTTGCTCGCTACCTCAGTTCCAAAATCGATGGTGAAGATGGGGGAGGACTGGGAGGGCCTGTTGGCGTTGTGATGGTGGTGATGATGAGCCCACTGCTCCTGCTTCCTTCTGAACAGATCCTCATAGCCTAGAGGAACACGGCCGTAATCCTGACGAGGAAGCGTTCGGCAAGACAGGAAGTGTGACAAAGAGAAAAGAGAACAGATATATTAATATAATAGTAATAATAATAATAATATGTTTAAACATCTTAATTAGTACAATGTAGTGTAGTCACAATACTGAAATTTCTAATTTTGTTACAATGCCTTTAAAAATATTGATATTCTAAACCTTTTCCAAATCCACAGGAAAAAATATCACTGAGGAAAAGGCTTTAACATGACAACAATGACTTTTCTTTTCTTGGTTACTAGCAGAGACTAGAAAGTGCAGCTAGTACCAGTATGTCAATACTGTGGAAGATGAGTATTGACACTGTCTCAAATTATCAAAATCAGCATGATTCAATAATATCTTTGACAACACTGACACAATGTTAACAGGTAGTAAACACTAATGACTAAAGCCATGAATGACAACTGGTGAGTGCCAGTTGGAGCCAAAGCTGACTGCTGGCAAACACATTACTAATAACATTACTAATTAAATACTTTTGAGTTTGAATCAGATCTGTAATCAGTCCTTCATCTTTTCCAAACTTTAGGTGCTATGATTGTACTTCATGTTTGGTCTAGCACGGTCAAATCCCCCTTCCTTTCCATCTGATATAACTTGTCCAGGATGTCCTGATCTATGATTACTGTCATCTGACTCCATCGAAATGTACAAACTTATTTGATTGGATCTCTAGAAGCCAATCACAGCACATCTTCTAAAGTGGACTGCATTAGAGCCACGCCCCCTTTTTTAATAAGCGTGGCTGACAGTGAGATGTAATAAGAAAGCACAAGGCAAATTTCAGTCAGTATTTAAAGAGTTTTTAAAGTAAACAACATAAAATGTTATATTACTTTCATATATATATATATATATATATATATCTTACTATATAATGATGAAAACTCTGTCTGTCTGTGGGTGTGGGTGTGTGTGTGTGTGTGTGTGTGTGTCTGTTCCACGTTTTTCTCCTCACTGACTTGGTCAATCCATGTGAAATTTGGCACAGTGGTAGAGGGTTATGGGAGGATGCAAATGAAGCAATATTACATCAATTGGCCAAAGGGGGGCGCTATAGCAACCGACTGAAATTGCAAACTTTGATTGGGCGTAGCTCATGCCCCGTATGTCGTAGAGACATGAAACTTTGCACAGAGATGCCTCTCCTCATGAGGAACAAATGTGCCTCAAGAACCCATAAATTCTGGTTATATACTGTAGATTTTCCGCCATTTTGAAAAAAAAAAAAAAAACCCACTTAAAATCGATCTCTTCCTAGGAAGTTTGACCGATCTGCATGAAACTCGGTGAACATATTCTAGGGACCAATATCTCAAGTTCCCTCTTGGCAAAAGTTGGAAAACTTACTAAAACTGAGCTTCTATAAGGCAATTCATATTGTGGAGGGCGTGGCTCATCACATAAAGGAGTATAACATGTCAAGGGTTTCACCGATCACCACGCAACTTTGTAGGCAAATGACCACACATAATCTGAGGGGACCCCTCCATTATTGACCCCATCAAACAAAATGGGGGCGCTAGAGAGCTAATTTCTTATCTAGGCCTAACCGCCAAATCGATTTTTACTAAACTTGGTAGATATGTAGAACAGGACGCCTCAAGGTGACTGGAGAAATTTAACTCTAATTGGCAACTGGGTGGTGCTATAACAACAGAAAAATGCTTAAAAATGGCTAAAATGCGACCGATCGCTGTGGCTCCCCCTGTGGCCCAATGTTTTGGTTTTTTCCTAATTTTTGGTATGACTAAGTCATGGTATTGTATGCTGTACTCAATGGTAGGGGGGGACTTACCATTAGGCAAAACTAGGTGGTTGCCTGGGGCCCCAAGTTTCTGAGGGCCCCATAAAACTCCTCATACACTTATGGTTAGAGTTTTTACTTGAGAAAAGAGGTAGTGGTGTGCTCAAGGAACCATATTGTCCAAAAACTCAAAGAAAAATGCAGGTGCTCTTGAAGAAGAGGGCTCAAAATCTTACCAAGAACGAAAAAACAAACTTCAGGCACTCTTGCATGGAGCAGGGAAAGAAAAAGGGTAGCTTGATTACTTCATTAAAAGCCTTTATTTTATTATGGCTTTTACAAAGACACTTAAAAAGGTGTTTTTAAGTGTCTTTGTACAATAAGGATTGAAAACAGGGATGAATAAAAGGATCTGGAGGGCCCCATGCCTGTCTTTGCCTTGGGCCCCAAAATGACTAAATCCGCCCCTGCTCAATGGGTATGGAAATTAAGTATCCAAATGATAAAAAATGCTATGATTTATGAGGGCATTTAGAGTAGAAAGTCACCATTACAATATTTCTTTGAGTGTGTGTATTTGGAACATGATTGGGTTCTGAACGGTTTTGCAGTAGGTCTAAACATCAGGGCAGACAAAGGAGCCTTCTCTGAGACTGTGAGGGTGGAAACAATAAAAACAGCTGTACAGTATAATGCAGCACAACCACTCTCCAATTCAAAAACAGTCAAGCTTCTAATGTTCCCTTTTGTCAATTATGCCCCGGAGCTATGGAACACCTACAGATATCAGGGGAGCCAGCCCGCTTAACAGTTTTAAAAGAAAACTAAAAATGTATCTCTTCATTTCAGCCTTTAACGAGCTCTGACTGTCCTGATACAGGCCTGAAACTCTTACTTTTTACATTTTGCACTGCTGCAATCCATTTAAATGTTGTATATAATGTTGTATTTATAATTTTATTCTATGATTTAATGATCTATGGTTTTGGTGATATTGAGCTATGATGCCTTCTATGTGCTCTATTTAATCTTATTTTTTGTTTTTAAATTGTATTTAAATTTCCTTTTATATTGAATTCCTCTTTTTGCCTGTTTTATGTCCATTCTTTTTTTCATGTTTCATTTTTATGTGAAGCACTCAGTGCATATAATATTATACAGCCCTTTGTGCCTGCGTTTCTTGTATGAAAGATGCTAATGTAAGGCTGTCTTTCCCACCATATAATGCACATACAGGTGGTGGACACAAAAGGTACATTAAACATTTTCCCACACTACATTAGAGCAGTAACCTCCACTACACATTTCAAACATGCATGTAAACACTATCTGATGGAGGGACAGACCTGCAACCACTGATTTAAATCCCATATCCCACTTTATTCACTCTGCTTCAGTCTTCTACTCTGCATTGTCTATGTAGCTGCCTGTGTTTTGTTGTTTTGCCTCTGTTGACTGTTTTATTCTGTAATGTAATGCGCTTTTGTTGCATAGCTGAAAACTAGTTTTTAACTGAGTCAGGCCAGTTTTAACTGTAACATACAATTAAATCATTTTCCTGTATGTATAAATGAAATGAAATATCTACAAATTATTCTTTGTTTAGACTTAATTTGCCGTAAAAACAGTATTTTAAAGTCATTTGTGTACAAGACTGTGTTATGTCTTAATAATCTCCATCACAGTTATTGTGGCCAGACAGCATTATTGGTAAAATTAACTGTAGTATGCCAGTAGTCATACTGGTAATGCTATATGATGCTGTGAGCAGGAGAGCAGAGAGTGGGTGAGGCAGAAACATATTTGGGTGAGAAGTGGGAGGACTACAGAGGAGGTTGAAGCTACATACTGCAGCTCTGTGGCTGGCAGGGAAGGTAGAGGTGAGAGGATATATGTGGGAGTAAAAAGAGAAACCGAAGGAAAGGAAATGTTGCTGAGAGGAATGCAGCAGGAAGACAGACCAACACTGATTAATACAGATGTTACCGCTGGATGTAGTGCACGAGATATGTCATGACATCGAGGAAGAAAACAGAAAGCAAACCAGTTTAATGTAACGCCAGGCAGCGGGCATTATATTTTAATTATGGCTGCTCAGAGTGGATTATCTCTCCTAAAGTATGCCCACTTATGAATAATTAAAATATACTGTTTTTATGGCATTGCCAAATAGATGCTGCGCTTGCAATCCTACGTTGGAACAGCGTCACTCAAACAAGTGGGAGAAGCCATAACAGCCTGCTCGTCCAGTTTTTGAATGGATACATGTGCTTAACAAAAAGAGTGATGCAGCAGTTACATCAGAGGTGTGTTGTCATCTAAAAATAAATCCCTCCAGCCAATCAGAAGTGAGTGCTGCCCGCAGCGATGCTATAAGACATGCATTATTACCCTGTGTAGCCCTGCACGGTGTTCAGCTCCAGAGCAGTAGTTGCTGTCTAGAGAGTTGAATCTCTCCCTGAGTGGAGGCTGGTAGACGGAGGAATGCAGCACCTCTGGAGGCAGTGAGTTGCTCCTGGCATCCTCTCTGTGGTACAGCTGTTAATGATTAGAATCATTGTTATCTGGAGAAGTAACACGATGATCAAAGTATCACAGCAACGTGACAACTAACAGGAAGCTCACCTGAGGCCTCCATACTCTCCTGCTGTCATAGAGGGGAGCATAAACACCATGAGCCGGAGCCAGAGGCCCGTACTGAGGCTGCCCCGGGTGGGGATGGAAGGCAGGAGGCCCCATTCGATCTCTAGGTGGGTGTGACGGGTACCCCGAGGAAGAGGAGGAAGGTGGGTGCGGTGCCTGAGGGTCACTGGGGTAGGAAGATGGCGGAGGGCCAATTGAGGGCGGCAGAGAGGATTCTGGGACGTTGGAGGATCGAAGGAAGCGAGCCATGCAGGGTTTGTGAGAGGGATGGAGAGTAGATTGGTAGTAGGAACCTGCTGGAGAGGAGAGGAGAGGAGAGGAGATTCATTTGCATGTTCCCAAGACAACAATACATTTTTATTTATTTATTTTATTCAGGCTTTTATTTAAAACTGGACTCACAGGTTGGTTGATAATGGGCCGTGTCATATGCAGAGTGCGGCTCCTGAAAGTACAGCTCTGACGCCTGAGAAGGATGTGGTGCACGCAGCACGAACTGACCATGTTTGGGGATAGGAGCGCCACCGTCACCCCGCCCAATTGTTGTCAAGGGAGACGATGCTGAGGAGTGACTGACTGGAGTCCTGGGAGGTGAGATGGGCTTCCTGATGGACAGACAGACAATATAAAAAGAAGGAATCAACACATGAATGGCCCTCAGGTCAAAATCATACACAAATATCCAATGTATGAAAATTCACATATCAGGTGACTTGTAAATGTGAGTTTGGTTGGATTTGTTCTGATATAAATGAAGATTATTTTGCTGTGTTCCGGACAATCCTGGGCACAACAGCAGGTGAGGTCAGGACTTTTTAAAAAGGTAGTGACAGTGCCAGACACAGCAAAGAATATTATTTTTTTATTGCTTTATTACCTACTGCACACAAACATAATGCTAAACTGGAGTTATTATTAAGCTGGTGGATGATTGATCTTACTGTTCTGTCGACCCTGACGAGCTCCTGTTAGACAGCCCGTTGGACCCGTTGGATCCATTTGGCACCGCTCTCTTCATCTCCTCCATCATGTCAGCGCCTCTGGGGATCAGCTCTGGGTGAGACAGGCTGGGCACTCCCTCTGTCAAGGAGGCTGTGTTCTCCCCCGTGCCTTTGAGCCCCTGCCCCATTCCTCCAGACACATCTGTGTGGATGCTGCCCTCCATAGTGAAGGTTTTACCCATAACTCCCGGCGCTAACGGGAACGCACGGCCCGCGCTGCTGCTCTTCTTGTTCCTTAGTCTAAATCTGTGCAGAGAAGAAGGGACGACGGGGGAAATCAGGACAATAGGGAAAGGTTACAGTTTGCTCAGAGAACATCTTAATAAACATGTTGTTATTGGATGTTTGCACTGAGGACCTCTTGTAAATAAATACATGATTAGATAAATACAATCTAATTAAAAAGGGGGACTTGGGGAAGGCTGTGTAGTAACAGACTTTCATATACAGATACTTCAGTTAGCAGAGTGTCACCTCGCAGTTATAAAACAGATTATTTTTATCTGTCTATAAATGCAAACTTGGATGATTAGTCATTCTCTATGTTGAACACAGTGAGTCTTTCATTGTGTATATGAGTGAGTGCAGCGCTCACTTCTCCAGCTCGTCCTGCGTGTGCGCAAATGTACAGTTGGTTCCTCGGGGACAGCCTCCCTGCTGACGGAGGTCTCGGCACATGCTGGTCTTGTACTTGCTGTTGGCCTGAGGCTGCAGAATGCACAGAAACAATGCACATTAACTGTAAACTCTAATGCAACTGAGTCTAAGATAAAAGACTGAAATTAAGTTGTTAGCTGTGACAGGTATCATAAAATGTTGGTGACACTTAATAATGTTCACTTGTAAGTGTAAAGTTCATCAAGATGTTAGTTAATGTTTATACACTGCTGTGACTAATTAACTTTATCAGTGATTGCTTTTTTTTATTTGCAATTTATTACATCAATGTATTACATTTAAACAAGCTCTCAGTGGCTCCCAGTAAAATGGAAAATTGATTTAAAATACCTCCTTTTGTTTTTAAATCTATGAACAGTTTAGCTCCTTCCTATGTTGTAGACATGCTCACTGATACACACCGAACAGATCCCTTACATCAGGGGTGTCAAACTCATTTTAGCTCAGGGGCCACATACAGCCCAGTTTGATCTCCAGTGGGCCAGACCAGTAACCCAAAAATACCTTTAAATTTTCCCCTTTTTTTAAGTGTAAAGAAGTTAATTCTGAGAACGTTCATCCATTTTTAAAACAGATGATGATCAGCCTGTGATATCCTCAGAAAAATATGTGCAAATTCAACATTATGTCTCAGTTTTTCCACATTCAGTTAGTCTACTACTCACTTTCATTACATGTGCATTTTCTTTTATAATTTCCCACTACAGTAGAAGCTAAAGAAGAAGCAGGTGAAGTCATCCCCTGCCTTCTAAACCATTTCCAGTCTGAGGTTTTGTCAGTGCCTCAGCAGCAGGGTTCCACCAATACAGTTTTAAGATAGAAGTCTGATACAGATTCTTTAATACTGAAGCTGCTGGTTGACAATATTTTGCACAGTGTTCAATATTTTTAAATATGCCCACCGTGAGTATTCATCGTTATTTCAGAGAGCTGTATTCTTGTCAGGGTGGAAAAGTCTCTGAGGCTGTATTTTACATGAAGTATCTACTTATTGTTGAAACCTGACACCTCTTAGCTTTCACAGGTGCATCAATATCAGGTGTGTAGCACCCTTATGTGTACTAGCACCTTGATGTGGCAAATTGCACAGCTCAGATGAGCAAATATCTTTTTGCACATTGGTCCCTATCTGGTCACTAGTATGTTTTTTTTTTTTTGTTTTTTTTTTGTTTTTAGATGCTGAATGTTTCACTGTCTTTTATGTATTTTTGTTTGTATGTTTCGTGCTGTTTAAAGCAGCAGTACCCTGTCTCCAATCCAAATTTCTCCCAAGGGAGACAAATAAATGGACTTTGACTTTGACTTTGTGTAAAGTCATCTAGTGGGCCGAATTGGACCCTTTAACGGGCCGGTTCTGGCCCCTGGGCTCTATGTTTGACACCCCTGCCTCAGATCATCAAGTCAAGGTATCATCATGATACCTAGAGTAAATTTTAAATCAGCTTATGTTGCCTTCAGTCATGATGGTCCTACTCTCTGGAATCTTCTACCACAAGACCTAATGTCTGGCACAACAGTGTCGCCTTTTAAAAGCAGCCTGACAGCATCCTTTTGTTGTAAGCTTTTAGTTTACAGTGTGTGGTTAATGGGTAAAATTTTTATGTTTAAATCAGTACTATTATTATTTCCTTTTTAAAAATACCTTCTTATCTCATATGTTCTTATCTAACATGTTTTTGTAATGTATGATCTTTGTCTACTTTTTTTTATTTTTATTTGAAGCACATTGAGTTCATGCCTGTCATATGAAATGTGCTACATAAATAAACTTGACTTGACACAGCAGGTTATAAAAAATGTGCACGTTAATTGTATTAAATTATTTTATCCAGACCCAGACAAACGACAAAATAGGTGCTGTTGGGGCGTTGGTGGCTTTGTGGTTAGAGCAGGCGCCCCATGTACAAGGCTGTTGCCGCAGCGGCCCGGGTTCGACTCCAGCCTGTTCCCTTGCTCTCTCCCCCCTTCACACTTACCTGTCATGTCCATCAAAGGCAAAAATGCCCCAAAAAATATCTTTAAAAAAAAAAAAAAAAGGTGCTGTTGAGCACTGTTTAATGCCTTGAAACAAAAAAATAGGAAAACGTTTTGTTCTTTTCACTGAATCCTTAGGGGAGAGGCTTGGACGCAGCTTGCATCATGTGTGTCTGTGTGTGTGGTTGTGTGTGTGTACACATGCATTCAGTGTCCAAAACATAAACCTCCATTCCATCTGCGGTGCTATGATTGGCTTGTAGGCGATCTTATCGGTCCCTGTCAGACAATCACTGTTGTACGTGAGCTCAGCTGAATATAAAAATTATTTATGGCTAAATGTGTCAGTAAAAGAAGTCAAGAAGCATGTAGCCCTATATAACGAAGTAGAATTACATATATTTTAGCGCACATGCACTCGAGAAAGAGTAAAAAGTATTCTGCAAAACTACCTTAGAAAATTAAAAAATGATTCAAGTACATATAAAAAAGTAAATGTAACACGTTTCTCTCACTACTGCAAACAGGTGTGGACAAACTACAAAAGACTTTTATAGACCTTTCTAATCACCTTTGTGGGTTATTCTGGATGGAAAACTAATTTAAGCCAACCAATTTAGAGTTTATGGCAGGGCTGCCATTTCAAAACTGTTTGCCTCCAAAGAAAACAAATATTTCCTGGTTTACAGATCTCAAAACACAGGCCCCTGTCCCATGGACACAAGTGTCATGGTGTGATCACCATCTTATTTTCTAACATGGATAAAAAGTAGAAGATTCATTTAACCCCAAAAAAGGTCTCACTCTGCCAAGGACAGAACTTCATGGTAGTATGCCAGGGATGACAACAAAAATATATATATTATAATCCTTATAACATGTTGGTGTTTAGATAATGTACAAGTATTATTTTGAGGACTGTCAAAAAATGCGTTAATTTCGATTAATTAAAAAATTAATGCTGATTAATCATGTTCCATGTGCCCTTTGACCCGGTGTGTCATTAAAGGCAATAGTGGCTTTGTGACATGATGGAGGCAGACGAGATGACGGGAACATTTACATTTAAAAACACCCAAATGGAACTGTTGAGAGGAGCACCATACCATACCATTTTCATACCATCGGATACCACTGCTTTCAGTACTAAGCCTAAAATATCACCTCAACGCAAAGCATTTAGCAGCGAACCCGAAGGTCCGAGCTAGCACAGCCTCTGATGCTAGCACTAGCAGCCAGCCTCGTCAAGCTGCACACGACCAGGTGTTCAGACGCAAACTGAGTAAGTCTACCTGTGACCCAATCACTAACTCCCTTACAAAATGGATTGCAATGGACTGCAGACCAGTTTGGGTGCTGGAGGAAGGGGGGACGATTGTGTCCAAAATCCAGCAGCTTTACTACGACACATCTGCAAATGTACTCATGTATTTAAGCATTTTGATTAAGCATGCAATGGTCAATGTCTGGATCTGGGTATCTAAAATTTAGATACTGACACACAGGAGAGTGTCAGCCTGTATGCACTGTTAGAGACCAGTTTGGGTCGTTACAGCTGGATCATCTGATTATTGTTAACAGTCATTTAATGCCGTGGTATCCAGAGACAAGAGACGATGTTTTGTCCGTTCAGTTAAATCTTAGAAGCCACAGCCAGGAGGAACAGAGTATGCTGCTGGACCCTGAACGTCTTATCTTCCGTGTTGAATGCCACTTTTCTACAGCACCAACATTATGTGTATGATCTCTCACACCTCCTTCATATCATGTTAAATAATATAACTGTACCTGCGGAGCGTCATGGCTCTTCTTGCTGAAGTTCTGTATGAACTCCACTAGTCCATGAACCACCAACTTCACAGCCAGCATCACACTCTCCAGCTCCTCCCATGATGGCGCCGGGGCATCTGCACACAGATCAACAACTCAGTCTGTTTAAAAAAAAGATACTTATCACTGTACAAGCGGCAAAGCTGGACAGAATTCAGCATGTATGAGACAAAACTGAGAATAATCAATAGTTTTAATCTTGTCTTTTGTGCTTGTTAATTGCATTTTGGTATGTGAGTGCCACAGCATGCCAATTTTCTTCTTTTTCCATCTCATTAATCTTGGTGGATCAGGACGTGCCTTTTATTCTGAGAAGAGTGAATCATTCTGACTCATTAGGATTCATTTAGATGAAAGCTGTTAAGCAAACCTGGGTTGTGGTCTATGTTGGCGAGTAGCTCTAGGTGTGGTCTAAGGCTTGTGAGGTTGGCAGGGTCTCCGGTCCTCTGCAGAACAATTGTCAGCTCCTGAACGCTCTTTGCAAATGACTCTGGAGACTGCAGCTGGAGCAGAGGATACAAGAGGAGAGGCTTTAAATAAAATAAAGAATAGATGAATGTATTTGTCCTGTTCTTTTGTTCTCTACCGGCTTGTTAAACCCATCATGAGAAATTTCCAAAGTGAGTTTATGATAAAAGCCGAAACTTATGTGGCAAGTGGGGCATAGTAACCATACTGGTACCTTGTCAATAATGGACTGCATATGTGACTTGTGGACCAGGTCTCCATACAGCAGGGAAGACCACTGCTCAGGTGAAATTCGTAGGCCCGCCTCCATGGCGATGTGGACAATCTGAGCATCATGTTCTCTCCGGAGAGCTTCGTATGTCCGAAACTCTTCTTTTAGCTGCATCAGTGACGAGTCTTCATCACGCTTAGTCACCTGAGAGACGATGGAGGGAGAGAGAAAGAGAAAGAGGAGGGATTGAGAAAAAGAAAGACCAGGAAGAGAGCGAGGGTATGGATGGATTATCTTTGGTAAGACTTTCGTCCTTGATACGGAACAATGAAAAAATAATCATCTTTCACAGCCCTCCAAAATGAAACATCAACAAGGTTAACTAAAACTTGACTAAAAACAAAAACTAGGTGTGGTGAAAAACATTTTATTGACTGAAATAAAATTCAAAACTAGACTTAACAAAAAAAAAAACTAAATGAACACTGAAAGCTAAAATAAAATAAAAATATATAAATAAAAAAAACACTCAAAAAACATTAAAATAATAAATAAATAATACAATATAATATTATAAATATAATACAATAAAATATTATAAATAAAAATTACATAATAAATAATATTATATTATAATATAACAATAAATAAATAATACTGAAAATAATAACCAAACTAAAACTAAATATGTTAAACAACAGAAGTAAATTCACTCTGGAAATTAACTTGTCTAAACTGCATTGAAAACAAAAATTAAAAACCAAATAATAATAAAAACTACAAAAAACTACAAAACTATAATAACTCTGAATGTAATTTCTTGTACATACCAAATGTGGCAGATTTATTGCGGTATATGACAATAATTATACATTTTAATATTCCAGCTGGCATGTTAAATTGGATTATTTTTATTCTATTGAATAAATCATTCTCCAGGTATATTTTATGTTTGTTTGTATGGACAGAAAATCTGAGCGTTATCTAAGAGTATCTAGTTATGATACACTTTATTAAAAAATTGTTTTCCCCATTAAAGGGGATTTTTTGGGGAGTTTTTCCTTATCTGACATAAGGGTCCAAAGATGGAGGGACGCTGTATGCTGTAAAGCCCTCTGAGGTAAATTGTGATTTGTGATATTGGGCTTTATAAATAAAATTGAAATTGAAACTGAAAAATGAATATGCTGCATATCTTGTTTGTATTTCCCCCCAGTGTGTACAACAATACAAAGTTTCTAGTCAATCAGGAGTAGCTGATGTAATATTGAAATACTCATTTTGGGGTGACTTATTCCTTTAGGTTAAAATAGTATCTTGGTGTTGAGAGTGACATTTGTGATTTTGCAATTAAATTAACCGAAATCACCGACCAGTCAGTTTGTTTCCATGTGGTGTCCTCAGACTAGTAAACTCAAATTCAGATCAGACAAAGGGATTCTCCCCCTCTCAGAATCTGCCCTATGAGTAATCATCATAAGACACCAACACACACAGCCAGCTACTCTATCACTTATCTGTTTAGGTCAGAGGTCAAATTTATCGTATCGTAATTTGCTCTGTTGCTGCTGCTGTCCATCCTTTGTGTCTTTTTCCTGTGTTCCTGCACTTTTAATCCATCTGTCTGTCTCTGCATCTCTGTGCTGTCTGTCTCTGTCCTGCATGGCGGGGCAACATGGGCAAATTTAGCCGGCTGTTACATCAGGAGCACATAGCTGGCATTTCTGCCCTACCAGCAATGTCTGTCATCAGATATGACGGACACTGCTGGTGGGACACAGAAATACACTCACGCACAGAAAATATAGCCACAGACGCCGTATCCTTATTACAGATATGACTTTAGTGCAACATAAGATATTAGTAGTATGAGCAACACGTTTAGAGGGTGCTAATACCTTAAAGGGACAGTTCACCCCAAAATCAAAAACACACATTTTGTCCGAGTAAATTTAGTGGCAAATATTTAATTATAAAAAAAATTACCAATTTGGAAAACACCTCTATAAAAGCTCCAGCTGACATTAATAGTTACTCATGTGAAGCACTGTCTCTGTGGTAAAGGAATATGTGGTAGTAAATGAGGATCTATGTAAAAACCCTTCTTTTAATGAGGTCATTTTTTACGGCTTGGGTTCTTGGAACAGCAGCAAACTGAGGTTCCTTTGTTTGACATAGATTACATCTACAGAGCTGTGGATAGCTTCCCTTTTTTAAATTAGGTATTAATAGTGCTCACATGTCCTCGCATGAGCACATATTTGTGTGTTTGATGAGTATGTAAAATAGCGTGTAAAATCATTCATGTCGTACCTTGAAGCAGGAGGCCCTGTAGAGCAGCTGCACCACGTGGCCTATGCTGGTTTTGGAGGCCTGGGGGAAGCGGGCCTCGAGCTTCTGGACTACAAACAAAACCAACACCTTCCTGGACAAAGCTGAGCCATCCTCCAGAGCCAGTAAGACTAGCTTCAGTGCATCTTCTTGCATAGCTGATGAGGAAGAGATAGAGCGGGGTGTAGGGATACAGGAGGGGACCGTGGGAGGAAGGAAGAGAATATATTTTCATCAACAAATCAAACAAACAAATCTATTTCTAACACATAGAACCAGGTGTCCTCAGACTTTAATGAACTCATTCTGTTATCATAATGAGAAATAATTTCCCAGTCAGAATCTGCCCTATGAGTAATCATCACAGGACACCCAGTACCGGCAGCAGCTGTAGTCAGTTTGATGAGGCAGACTACACAGGCAATTCAAAAGGCAACTTGTGGACACAATGAGTCCAGTCAACTGAAAGGCTAACAATTCCTTTGATTTCACACGCCAACCTGCTAAAACAGACGGACAGTCATTGCAGTAAATTTCACGAATCCAAAAGGCCCACAAGCAGTAGCAGCAATAAAAGCAAGATGACACTTCATTGTTCTCAAACTTGTGTCACACCAGCCCAGACGCCAGAACAAAATGTTGGCACTGTAGGTTTCTGGAATCCACCGATATGTTACATTTGCACATATCATACATATCATAACAAGGTTTCTACAGTGATGTAGTTGTGATTGCATATGTTACATGAGCTGACTTGGTCATCGGGAGGTGGAGGTGATGGTGGATGGCTGCCAAGTTGAAGACAAAAAACTGGTTGTTTTTTTTTAGCAGGACATCTGTGGCATTTTCAGTGGGGAGACACTGGCAGCATTTCCAGCCATGATTGTGCCATCAGAAGCGGGTGTTTTTAGTGAGACATCTGTGGCATTTGTAGCTGTGATCGTGCTACCAAACGCAGGTATGCTTTGGCGAGACACTGGAGCATTTCAAGCCATGACTGTGCCAGCAAATGTGGGCATACTTTAGCGAGACATAGCATTTCTAGCTGTGACTGTGCTGCCAAAAGGGGGTGTGATTGAGCTACACATAGGCTGCATTTCCAGCAGCAATTGTGTCACCGCAGACAGATTCTTTAAGCCAATACATGACGTTTTCATAATCATAACCAAGTGGTTTTGTGTCTTAACATAACTAGACATTAACTGTTGTTAAAACATAATAAAATGTTTGCAGAAACGTACAATGGCAACATTTATTCTGGCGATTGGGTGGGTCACGTATATTTTACAGGTCAAAAGATTTAGCATGAAGTGACCCCTTTTGAATTATAATGCCTCAGAAAGTTCACAATAGCATGCCTTGCCTTTAAAACTTGAATGCTTGTTTTAAATGTCTATACACCTGTGAAATTTGTCCAATACAGTGGTTCCCAACTGGTGGGTCGCAGTCCAAAAGTGAGTTGCAGGTCCATTCTGAATGGACCGCAAGTGACTCACAAATGTGTCAAGTATGTAAAAAACACACTTTATCTTTTAAGTGAAGTGAATTTCATTCATTTCATTTCAATTTCGGCACAGAGCTTTTATTTTGAGGAGCTGTTTCCTGCTGTAGAGTGAGTGACTAATGGACAGCTACTTGACAGAGACAGCAAGCTTGCTTGATAACATGGCCAAATTCAAGTATGACACTGAATAAATTAAACTCTGTGGACCTTAAACTAATGATTAAGGAGAAATCTGGACTCCAGGGATGGTCCAGTTGGGAACCACCTATCTAGAATACATTCAAATCTCTTACAAATCACATGTTGCCTTGCCTCACAGATCAATGTGTTTGTGTCTTGGCGTGTGATGATTTTATCGCTGATGTATGTGCGCTGTATATCATTTACACCCACCAGGTCCCAGGAACTGGCATCCCCGCGCCCTGACCGCTGCCCAAAGGTTGGCAGAGAGCTGCTGGGGGTTCTGGTGCTGCAGAATGAGCTCGGTTACGGTTCGTTCCCCCAGCGAGCGGCCTGCCCGCACCGCCCGGACACGGCCCTCCTCCTCCACCAGCTGGCAGTTCACCAAGGTCACCAGCTTCCTCTGCATTGGCCGACTGAGGACACTCGGACTCAGTGTTGCCACGCCTGCAAAAGGTCACAACAGTGTGGAACTTTGGTTATCAGACATTTTTTAATAATTGATTTTGTCTCAATTCAACTCTGTTACAACCACCTATGTTTGTGAGTTTAAACATATCTTCATGGAGGCGATGAGCCTAGAAGGTTTTTGTCCAAATGACCTACTTTTCAAATAATGACGAATCCTACCACCGTCACCCAGACCTGGCAGAACAAACAACCGGAAGCTACTGGTCAATTTCAGTCGAGTTAATCTCTCTTGTCTGGTTACGCACAGAGCTGATTTTTCCATCAGTATCATTAAAGTAGAGCAGCTTTCAGGCGTCATGAGAAGTGTGAAAAGCATGAATGCCAAGCTGCACAGGCAGCTCAACTGCTGCCCACGCACGTTTAGTACGAAGAGCTTGATTCTCTTTCACTAGATGTCCAAAGATCTGAAAGTCTAAAACTTATAATCAAAACACAAAAACAGACGCACATAACTGCACAAACCTTTTGCTCCGCTGATCGGTTTTAGGTAGAGAGCCAGCTCTTCCACACACACCCTGCACACCTCATAGTTCTCGACTTCTGCTGCGCTGTTTAGGCTCACCGGCTGCACATCAGGGACCTAAGAGACGCATAGCATGAGCACACACACACACGGAGTTTTGAAGCAAACATGCCATCTCTCTCTCCGACTCACCTGAGCTCCGACCAGCTGCAGCAGGGCGCAGTTGACCGGCAGCAGGTCGATATCGGTGCTGATTGGCGTCTGATCGAAGGGACAGGCCTTGCGGTGCAGTTTGTGCAGGCAGGTCTTACACACCGTGTGGGAGCAGCCCAGGCTGATGGGCTGGTGGCCGCTGCTGTCAAACTCATTGTAGCAGATGGGACAGGACAGGAACTCTGTCCACTGGGCTGCCTGCACCGGCATCCTGCTGCCACAACACCGAGGAAGGCGCCGCCGAGCTCAGGGGGAATGCATGTCAACGAGTCCTGACAACAGCTCCTGCTCGCCGGTGCCGACGATGACTGCGAGGGAGAGGACATAAAGTAATGCAGCAGTCGTTTTGATAAGACATTTACACAGTGCTGATTTATCTACGGACAAGAGATAATTAAAGAAATCCATTATGAAAGATAATTAATATTCAGATATTTCACTACTTCATTAACCGACTAATTGTTTCAGCGCTAACCGGCACAAATTAAGCACTTTAGATAATCCGCCACATGGCATGACTCAACATATTAAGAGTCATCAGAGTGAGTGTGCATGGCATCACAAATAACTTCAACTATAGCGACACCATAAAAGCATTACGCTGTGGGATTTACAAAAATGCACACCTCCAATTACAACTTACATTGTGGCCGTTTTATTAGAGCTGCTTGCCATATATGATTTGTCACCTGCCACCATGGCTTTAAAAATCATCAATACCTCTGTTATGATGCATTAACATGTAGATAAACGTGATCTACTTTAGAAATATATATCTAATTTACACAATTTTGTACAGTCAGACAATGACATGGTGTCCAGCAAATAAAGGAGCAGCATAAATATCACTATTCTTTGAGCTCTACTGCGTGCAATAAGCATTTAGCTAAGTACACAGGCAATCTCCAGCCTCTCACGCCGTACAAGTCATAAATTTATTTAATTTAATGTGGGCAATAAAAGCGCTCTCTCCTTCTCTCCTAAAAGAAGTAACTGCCAAGTGTGAGCACACGTTGCATTAAAAGGCCTTGCTGTGAACACAATTTGTACGGCATTAAGTACAAGTCTATATTTCAATCGTCCCATTACACACAGATTTTTTTAAAACATCATAACAAAAGATCACAATAACAATAAAACTAAGTACGAAAACTACATATATTTAATAACACTAAATCCATAAAATTAAATTACGCAGTGAAGACAAAATAAATGTCCAAGACTGAGCACTGAGATCAGTCTCACAGAATCATCTTGGCTTCGACATCCTGCCTCTCTTTAAGACAATCCCTCTCTTGTCTAATGAAGCCTAAGCTCATGCTGAAGCATAATAATACTGAATCATGATAAACACAGATGGGATCCGCAGGTTGAGGCGGCTAAAACTGAATCATAACAGCGTCCTGTTTCTGGGAAACTTTGTAGGTCAAAGGCTTTGTTTATGTCAAGTGTTCCCAAACATCTTTAATAACTGATGCTCATTCATGTTATTTTATTTTGGTAAGAACAGTTTGTTAGACTATCCTGACCTGAGCATGATGACATAAAGATATACAGCACTGCTTATTTAGAGCTTATTAAGAGTAGCATCAAAAGGTCAACATCCATGTAACTAAACGATCAGCACCTTTTGTTACTGCAGGGAATAAATTAATATTCTCAGTGTTTTCTGCAGGTAGTAAATTTACTTTTGCTTTCTATATTCTGACAAAAGTAATGCTGCATTTTAGCTTATTACAATCAAAACACACCACAGACAGATTCTGGAAATCTACTATCAGACCAAGTTTACAAGCCTGGATCACCAGACTGTCACACTCTGTTGCCACTGAAAAACTTACTTTTATGATTAAGGGTAAATGTTCGACTTTTGATGAGCTATGGGGACGTTTAATGACATTTCTACAGGGCTACAGAAGTCTAAATGTATTGAATGCAACATAATTATGTGGATTTTCTTTCCTCTTTCTTTCCTTTAGACTGTCAGTACTTGTAGAGGTTGCATTTCTGATCATTTATTTTGAACTCTGGAAAAGTACTCATTGTATTGACCCGTCGTAGCAGTTGTTATTAAGACGATGACTTACTGTGAATTTTATATTTTGTACCTTACTTGTTTTTTGTTGTTGTTTTGGATGTAATATTTGAAGTATATTAAATATCCAATGAAAAAACTTTAAATCACATGCTTTATTGAAAGCTGTTTCACACACTTCCCTAAAACTAAAACTTTTTTGGCCGTTTTAACCCCCAAATATTCGGATTCTTGTTGAATTGCTAATATAATCAAGAATTACATCAGCATTTTAATTAAGAGGTAGCAGAGGTTCATGTTTCAGATGACCAAAACCTCCACCATACAGCACATAAGCAGCACATTTTGGTAGGCATTGTTATGTTTTAATATTATGTCATAAAGCCTCAGAAATCAGTTACACTTAACTAACAGCAAGTTTCTTATGATCGAGGGTAGGGCTGGGCAATTAATCAAAAATGAATAGAAACCAACATTCAGAACCTCTAACCAACGTAATCTTGCCCATGTTGGTAATTTCGATTTTTTTTTTAAAGTCTTTTAATACGTGACTCCGCCCCGTCCATTCCGTGATCTGGAAGCAACATGGAGGAGATCTCAAACACCGAGCCAACTGAGCAACTTGAGCAACGTGTACCAATGAGAAATGCCATGTCCGTCGTTTGGACACATTTTGGCTTTCTTGAAGACAACACCGAACAGAAAGAAATCAAATGCAAACACTGCAGAAAATCCATTTCAGTGACCAAAGGTAACACCACCAGTCTGTTTCAGCACTTGGGGCACAATCACATGACCCAATATGAACAGTGCATGGTTCAGAAAAAGACAGAGACTGACAAGCGCCTCCAGAAAGCAGCTCTCGATAACACAAGCATGTACAAAGGCTACACGATATGATAAGGATTCAAGAAAATAGTTTAACTGTGTGTGTTTCCTTCAACTATTTTATAGGTGGGTGGACAAAGATGGAGCCAGTGACTGACAGAACCAATGTGCCGCTCTAAATCAGCTTCATGCTTTACTTTACTTTACTTTACTTTGATTGTGAACTTTCTGAACCCAAATATTCCATGTACATTTCTAAAAACATTTCATACCTGCAAAGGATTTTCTTCTTACGTAACACCGCAGCACAATATCATATTTTGTTCAGCTTTCTACGACCTCCTGTATGCTCTTTGATGCATCATCATCCCATTAACCAAAAGCAAAACCTCACAGAAAACACACCAATACATAAAAAAAACCCATCATCTCTCTGACTCCATTATTCAAAGTGTTTTGGACACAGCGTGCAGACATCCAGCACCTGTTGCTTTTAGAGTCTGTTGCATCTGTTCAAACTGCTCACCAAAACAACAGCTGGCGCCCTCACAGAACAGGTGCCATATTAAACCAAACAAAAGAAATGTATCCAAATGGGTTAGGAGATACAGTAAAATGGCTTACACACACACACACACACACACACACACACACACACACAGAAAGTACAGAAAGGGAATGAAAGAGATTACAGAGGACAAAGCAGCTCAGTTATCTGGCTTTACCAGTTTTGAAAATGTGCTGCAACCAGCTTGTGCAGCCAAGTATGGTCCTAATGTGCGTAAAGAAAATGTGTATTTGTTTGTCTAAAGCAAAGATTCTTCAAGTTTTCTAAAAATGCTCTAAGCTTTAAAAACATCCCTTCATGACGAATAAATCAAATCTCTTTATATATGAACACGCTGGCTGCATTCCACTGGAAACAGAAAGAGGAACTGCGCGCATTACGCACGCGCCCTACGCCATATTACACAGCAAATAAATCCAGAGGTTCTCCACAACATGGATTTGAATGTATTTCCTATTATAATATACAACGACATTCCTGTTATAATCCCGGTTTTACGCACCTTCCAAGATACCAGCAGCGCGCGGTGCCCGTTTTGCCCCCTCGGCCGCGTAGACAGCTCCGCTCTGTCCTCGCGCGTCATATTTCCTTCCGCGAGGAGCCCAAATATAACACCGATTGCAGCTATTGTAGCTCACAAACTGCTGAAGCACCGTCGGAGGAAGAGTGAGGCAACGCTAGTGTGGTGAAACGGGTTTAGGGGGGAAGTTTGGAAGGTGGGGAGGTCTATCCTGGATAAATTTCTTTCCCCGCGTGTGCGCAGATTAGGGAGTGGTGCAAACTCTGGGGGCAACTGTTCACCGTCACGTTGACAGCCACCTGTTCCTGCTCTCAACAACTGCTACATCCTGTTTTTTACACAGAGTCCCTCACTGGCAGAGTACAAGAAGTCTGGCCCCAGCTCGTGCTCTGGCCCTGCAGAAATTATTCCTGCACACATGGCTGCATGTATTACACTCATAATATGCATTTAGCACCTCACAGCACATGAGGAGTCTAAAATATAATGATGCACACAAGACTTCCATTATTTGGATGAATGGACCACTAGCTGTCTATGTATGCAGGAACACACACACACACACACACACACACACACACACACACACACACACACAAAAGGCCCCACAGTCATGAATAAGTCTTGTGACAGGGGAGAAGTGGGCGTGCTGTATTGTCACAGGAGACCTCAACTTCCTTATCAGGCCTCTCTCCCTCACTGGTTACTTTAAAATGAGGAAATCAACCTCTAAGCTTTGCTTTTATTCAATCGGGCTTGTTCGTACCTGCAGTTCACCGACTACAGTGCAGGAAACTTGAAAGTTGAGAATGTGCCATTCTAAACACACCCGAGCATCGAGACACACAGCACATTCAATGTCCACTTTCAAGAGCAAATTATCCCTAAAAGTGTCAGAAGAAGGCTCCGTAGACCCAAGCAGTGATTTGCTGTAGTGGCCTGTTGAGCCACCCACTCTGCTGAGCGGAGGATGAGAAGTACATTGTGTCTTTACAGCCAACAGTTGGCGAGCTATCATCTGGCTCAGGACAGTGAGTCCTCACTTGGCCCCCTCTGTGTGGGGGAGGGCATCTGGAGTTTCCTTTGGCATGTCTCATAAAGGGAGGAAGAAAGATTGTTTTGAGAGAGTGTTTTTCAGAACACTGAGGTAACATTTTCAGGATAGGGCGATGTTTTGGCCCATCTCGCTTTTATTAGATTTGGACTTTGGTTTAGGCTCATGATGAGAATTCCTGTTGGGTTAAGGTTAGGTTAACGCAAGGATAAGGCTGATGTTCTCACATTGCCGGTAAAGGTCAGGTAGAAATAAATCAGGTATGGGCTGAGATCACTACAGAGCCTGCAAAACATCATGTCAGGGAGGAATTGGCTATTGTGCACAATGGCACAGTTTTCATTAGCATGTTGTTAGCATGTCATGGCTGTTTCCCATAGAAACAGGGACTCTGATAACAGCAACGCAGCAGAAAGGGAGTAGAAGGAAGCAGAACAAAGCAGAATACAGCAGTCGTCTGATAGGAGCCTCATCAAAGCGTCCTCATGTAGGGTCAGGTTATGGTTGGAGTAAGAGATAAGGTTTGGCACGTAATAGTGATGCCTTGATGTGGCTGCTACAGGGTCGATTCACCTAACCTGTATTCGTGTGTCATTAGTTTCTGATTGTGCTGCGCCAAAGAAATTCAACCGTCACTTTGCAACTCCAGTTGGAGTATTTCTGTAGGCCCAGTGGAGTGAGCTGGCACAGTTACCTCTATTGAACCCCAGTATCTGTAGAGAGAGACATCAGGGACAGCAGTGCCACATTAATCTGTATCTAAGGTGACTGCTGGGTCTGTGTTATGTGGAAAGAAAAGCATTTGGACGTAAAGCCAATTTAAGGCCAAAAAATATTTAGATTTTTTTTAGTACAAACTCAAAACTTGCTGAGGTGTTACGATGAGTTTGACTGACATAATGTTTTAGCTCTGACAGCTATAAGTCTGGGGCCTCACCATGCCCAAGTGGACTAAGACACATTCTGACATGAGGATATGTGTTGCATGTCATCCCACCTTTGTCTCCTGCAAATCTTGACTGTCAGCGACCAAATAAAGACTAGAAAATAAGGTACAACTACAAGACAAATCTCAACTATCAACCACCAAATAAAAGCAAGAATATAAGGTACAAGTACATGACAAATCTCGCCTAACTACAACCAAGTAGAGACAAGAAAATAAAGTACAAGTACAAGAAAAATCTTGACTATCAGCCACCAAATAAAGGTCGGAAAATAAAGTACAAGTACAGGAAAAATCTCCACTATCAATGACCAAATAAAGTATAAGTACAAGAAATATCTACTACTACTACTAACAACCAAATAAAGGCAAGACAACAAAGTACAAGTACAAGAAAACATAATAATCTAATAGTTAGACATTGGACCAGTTCTTGAATCCACACCAACCAGTAGCAATAAGAGATGAGCTGTCTCAGGGTGGCTGAGCAAACCCTGCGTCATCTGGCGGACTAACAGTCATGCTGATATCGTCCAAAAACTTTTCTGTGCGCACACAGCCAAAAACACAGAAATGCATGGACACATGGACACACACACACACACACACACACCACCATGGAGTGTGAGTTGGACTCCAAGGAAAGGAATCTTAAGTAATATGATAACTCCTTCTCACTGTCACCTTGACCCCTAAATTAGAACATTCCAATTAGTGTGTGTGTGTGTGTGTGTGTGTGTGTGTGTGCAAGCATATGAGAGTGTGTGACGTCATGGGAACAGTGAACCCAGGTTGGTGTTTTCATGTTTTCACCAGAGACACAGATTTATGAAATGAAGATAATGCACAAAAACTCAACAACTGATTTTCCGTCACTAACCAGCACAGACCAAAGCTCTCACTCTGTAACTCATGACAGCACCACTGTAATCACCGCTGCAATTTACTCATTTTGAGAAAAATGTGCAACTTGTGCTCACCCACACAATTTTAATGACCCCGTATTGGTATTTAAAACATTTAAATACTACTCATGATTCACTTTTGCTCACTTTCGTAAGTGCGCTAATGACCTTTCAATTGAAACCCCCCTAAGATATGTATTGCGAGCGCCCCTACGACATGATCTACAACCAGAATTTTAGCATAAACGTAGAGCTTTCAGCCTTCTGGGAAAAACTTAGCGGGTAACAGCACAACACAAGTGAAACCTCACACCCACCACACTGCTGATAAAAAAAACACTGAAAAACTCTACTATCAGTACAGTCAAGGGAGCTCAGACAAAAATAAAACTGTCCTGAATTACATTTCTGTTGATGACAAAGTGAAACAAATTAAATCCGATTATGTTTACGTGCACAAGAACTATAAACTTTCCATTTCAGTGGTTCAGCAGGTAGCGTCTATAAGCTATGAAGTGAAAGCAGTACTTGTAACCACAGCAGGCAGGTAAACAGTGAAGAGAAAGTTAAACTGTAACACTGATTATGCTTGTTAAACTTTTGAAAGACTCAACAGGCACACTCAGGGAAGTATGAGCAATGAAATGCACTTGCAATCTGAAATCAGAAATCATAACTGTGGCATTATCATACACATCATTTTACATGGCAGTGCTGATGGTGCCAGAGCAGCTAGGTCTCCTGTGATATCTGAAATGTTTCACTCCATAATTCATAGCAGGGTTACTACTAGTTGTTTTATGTCTTGTTTTTGAGTGTACAGAGGGGGTATGTGGGTCTGTGTGATTAAATATTCATAAGGCCTGTCATCACAGTGTGTGGGGGTAGTATATGGATGGTAGGCTGGGACACTATACAGCTCACAGGCTGCTATATGACACAGCGCATATAATATAGGCCTACTTTATTACACTTGTGAGATGTGTCTGCAGTAACAGGAGCAACCAGGAGTTATGCAATCTTTTTTGCAGCCTTGGGTGATATTGTGAGGATATCATGTTGCTTCCAGTTGCAGATCAGCAGGTTATAGAGTAACCTCAACATCACTTAAACTTTAAGATGTCAGAGGGCTATACAGCACACAGCATGCAACACCTGAAGTTGGAGACAGCTGCTTTGGCTCAGGAGTCACTCTGAGTGCAAAAGTGACTTTCCTCCATAGATGGCACATTTGTCTGGGAGGGTAACATCAACTAGTCTCCATTGCAGCATCACTACAATTTCATGTTGCTTTACAGCATGCAATGACTGCCTCAACTCTTTCTAGAAAACCCTGGTTTGCATTCTGGCTTTGAGCTATGGCCCCATAATTTCAACACAAGCAGCCTTCTTATGATATTCCATCAGCACCAGTTGCAGGGATTGATGGTGAGCTGGGGGGGCGGATAGTTCCAGCTCTAATGGTCTAATGATATGATTTGTGAAATTTGGAGATGCTGAGGAAAACAAATAGAAGAAAACAGTCCAAATCTGACATCAAAATGTCAAAGGCGCAGGAGAAAGTAGCGCGCACCTCTGGATAAGTCACTTACCTCACGCACTACACCAGAGCCCCAGAATAAACATAATCATAGACATCCACAGAAGCGCATCAAAATAATAATAATAGTAATAATAAAAAATATCTTCATCAGTTGCAAAACAACCGCAGCAGCCAGCCCAGGGAGACAGATCTTGATGGGAGCGTGATGTGGCTCTGCATTTCAGAGATTTACAGCCAGGTCCCTTAATCCAGTTTTGATCCTCTGCCCCCCTTTTCGATAGTACATGACGGACACGTTCGCTCAGGTACAGTGAGCCACACACTCTCGCTTTGACAAACCGGGGCTGAGAGGAGATGGTGGTATCGCTCCGCCGGTGATGGTGCCTGAACTGCGCCTCAGACTCACCAGTCTGAGAGCTGCTGCACACATACACGCATCATGCATGCTCCTGCCCCGAGACGCAGGTTTCCTTCACCCTCCGACGGTTTAACAAAAAAAAAATGCTTGTGCGTGTTTGTCGAATTGGCAGCGTGGGGCACTACTTTAATATTGAGGGCAAGGATAAAAAGATGTAAAGGGGCAAGCCGGAACAAGCCGCTTTTCGAGGCGTGGGCTGTCTGGTTTTAAAGGAACAGAGGATGCGCTTCGACAAGTGCGCCTGTCAAGAGGAAGTTGACACAAACACACGCAGTTCCCGCTCGTTTTTATTGCAGCTCTGAGCTTAGAGAAGTGGAGGAGCGGAAGAATAACATGCCTGAACTCAGGTTGCCTTCCTTATTACTTATAATGCTTACTTTCCTATAATCTAACCATGCATACATGTGTTTAATTAGCTTCAAGTCTTTGGAAATTACACACACAAAATAATTTTAATCAACTTAAATAACAGTTGTCATTATTATTAGGCTGTGAATACATTCAAATGTCGTGTTATTTTAAATTGAGAGAGCCTTTTTATAGCCTATACTCATGTACATTTCTGGGGGGACACATGCATATGCCCCCTCCAATAAAAACATGAAAGCAGCAGAGGACAGTGCACATTAATGAACATCACTTAGGTCACATAAACGTGCAGGTTGATGGTATATGTGCATATGAGAAAAGGCATCAAGATAATGCACATAAGCACAGATAGGCATGTCCACAGAAGGGCACACGAGCACACGAGCACAGAGAGAGCATATAACCATAGACAAAAGCACATAGCGAGGCACATACAGTACAGGCCAAAAGTTTGGACACACCTTCTCATTCAATGCGTTTTCTTTATTTTCATGACTATTTACATTGTAGATTCTCACTGAAGGCATCAAAACTATGAATGAACACATGTGGAGTTATGTACTTAACAAAAAAAGGTGAAATAACTGAAAACATGTTTTATATTCTAGTTTCTTCAAAATAGCCACCCTTTGCTCTGATTACTGCTTTGCACACTCTTGGCATTCTCTCCATGAGCTTCAAGAGGTAGTCACCTGAAATGGTTTTCCAACAGTCTTGAAGGAGTTCCCAGAGGTGTTTAGCACTTGTTGGCCCCTTTGCCTTCACTCTGCGGTCCAGCTCACCCCAAACCATCTCGATTGGGTTCAGGTCCGGTGACTGTGGAGGCCAGGTCATCTGCCGCAGCACTCCATCACTCTCCTTCTTGGTCAAATAGCCCTTACACAGCCTGGAGGTGTGTTTGGGGTCATTGTCCTGTTGAAAAATAAATGATCGTCCAACTAAACGCAAACCGGATGGGATGGCATGTCGCTGCAGGATGCTGTGGTAGCCATGCTGGTTCAGTGTGCCTTCAATTTTGAATAAATCCCCAACAGTGTCACCAGCAAAACACACCCACACCATCACACCTCCTCCTCCTCCATGCTTCACAGTGGGAACCAGGCATGTGGAATCCATCCGTTCACCTTTTCTGCGTCTCACAAAGACACGGCAGTTGGAACCAAAGATGTCAAATTTGGACTCATCACACCAAAGCACAGATTTCCACTGGTCTAATGTCCATTCCTTGTGTTTCTTGGCCCAAAAAAATCTCTTCTGCTTGTTGCCTCTCCTTAGCAGTGGTTTCCTAGCAGCTATTTGACCATGAAGGCCTGATTAGCGCAGTCTCCTCTTAACAGTTGTTCTAGAGATGGGTCTGCTGCTAGAACTCTGTGTGGCATTCATCTGGTCTCTGATCTGAGCTGCTGTTAACTTGCGATTTCTGAGGCTGGTGACTCGGATGAACTTATCCTCAGAAGCAGAGGTGACTCTTGGTCTTCCTTTCCTGGGTCGGTCCTCATGTGTGCCAGTTTCGTTGTAGCGCTTGATGGTTTTTGCGACTCCACTTGGGGACACATTTAAAGTTTTTGCAATTTTCCGGACTGACTGACCTTCATTTCTTAAAGTAATGATGGCCACTCGTTTTTCTTTAGTTAGCTGATTGGTTCTTGCCATAATATGAATTTTAACAGTTGTCCAATAGGGCTGTCGGCTGTGTATTAACCTGACTTCTGCACAACACAAATGATGGTCCCAACCCCATTGATAAAGCAAGAAATTCCACAAATTAACCCTGATAAGGCACACCTGTGAAGTGGAAACCATTTCAGGTGACTACCTCTTGAAGCTCATGGAGAGAATGCCAAGAGTGTGCAAAGCAGTAATCAGAGCAAAGGGTGGCTATTTTGAAGAAACTAGAATATAAAACATGTTTTCAGTTATTTCACCTTTTTTTGTTAAGTACATAACTCCACATGTGTTCATTCATAGTTTTGATGCCTTCAGTGAGAATCTACAATGTAAATAGTCATGAAAATAAAGAAAACGCATTGAATGAGAAGGTGTGTCCAAACTTTTGGCCTGTACTGTATGCAAAAACATAAGACATAAGCACTAATAATAAAACAAAGACCTAACCATATAACCAAAAAGAATGTACTATAAAAAAGTACAACATAAAAGACAACATAGACCAAAGCACGTAGCCACAAACACACAAGAGCACAAAGCAAAGCACATAAGCAAGACAGTAACATAACCATAAAACCAAAGCAGATCATGACACCAGGTTTGATTGTCCAGTAACCACAATTTTATTAATTTGGAGAATGACTTAAGAGATGTGATGTTCCTAAAACATTCCTGAGACGTGTTAAATACATTTACACCATAAATTGATGCAGAAAATTTCACCAGAATGCAGTAAATTAAGTGTTCAACCCCTAAACCCCATGTGTTGAAACAAAACCTATGCCCTTGCCTCTACTGTACTGCTTGATAAAACACTGGATTGTGTTGATGAGTGTAACCTACTGAGGTTAATCCTGTTAGATGGATAGCTTCATCCTGTACACTGTAATGGACTTAGTCTGGCATCTCAACAGTATTAAACAGGCTCACTGGACATGAAGCCTTTACCTCCAGTGTTTACTGTGGTGATAACTCAGACTTTCTCCCCATTAACCTGCTGAGTGGGAAGACATTATTTAAGATGCATATTGGAGAGCTAAATATGTGGTAATTTACTATTTTATTTGTTTTAGGAAGCCATTTGTACATGCTTCAAGCTGCTGGCTTGAAAACGCTGCTTGACAATTTGAACAGGCTGTCTCTGTGGGAACAAGTGGTGTTTGCACTGCAAGGACATCAAGCTGAGTTACACAAAGTATCTGGATACTGTGAGTTAAACAGTGATTGAATTGTCCTGTGTGAATGTTTTGACTGCTTCATTTATATGTGACTCGCTGTCTGGAGTGAGTGGTTTGCATTGTCAAAGAGGCATCCCTAATAAAGTGAGCAGTATTGCAGAAACTGACTGCTCAGAAGTTTAGCATTCTCTAATATCATCCTGTAGTAAAAGCACAAATTAATGTTTAACACATTGCCTTTAAAGCTACAGTAGCTTCATATTTAATGAAGCTGTCACTATATCCTGACAGTAGTACATGCAATGGAAAAGTGTAGTTACGATGAGCCGTAGTGCACACTATCATGCACATATTGTCTTGTCATACGTTTAGTCTTGACACTGGATAACGTCAACACACATATTACCCAGCAATCATCACTGCATATCTATATTTGTAATAGTTGATTTATAGTTATAGAGGTTATAGAGGAGGCATGATGATTATAGATGCTACTGACTGTTTAACAAATCAAGAAAAATAAACTTGAAGGAGATGGGTTTGTCTTTTTCAAGGGCACATATAGCAAATGGTTTTTAATTTAATGAGAGTTCATCTTTGAACACAGGCATATTTTCAAGGTGGCAATCACTCATGAGGGCCCATTCTCCATCAAACACACTGCTGGAGGGCCCACTCTCTCTGTGGGCCCCCCACCTCATGGGCTCCAGTGCAACTGCACTGCCTGCACTGTCTATATTTACGCCCCTGTGTACATGAGCAAGATAATCTGTGAAAAGTCATGTTCCTCTGGCTCCTCCTAGTGCTCCTAATGGCATTTACAAGAATCCACTGCACCTGAATGACAACAACAGATTACAGAGCTCTTCACAAGAATCTTTAAGGAAGAAGACTGTTGACGAAAAACTTGCTTTCACTTTCAGGATTACTTACCTTTGCCATGTATGCTGTTGTTGGCAAAGGAGGGATGAGCAGTTTTTCCATTGCTTGTGATTGTTTCCCATTGTGTTTTTAAAGCTCCTCCGGGAGCTGTGTCACAGATTCCTGCTGACTCTGATTGGTTGTTTTTGTTCAGGCATTATGATTCTTGTAAATGCCATTAGAAGCATTACAAGGAATCAGAGGAACATGATTTATCCACATATTAGTTGTCTCATGTAGCACTGTCAGGATAGTGTGACAAAAAAAGTTACCTACTGTAGCTTTAATTTAGATACAACACAACCTACACAGTACACACATTTGAAAGTCTGGGCCACCATTCCACCAGAAAAAAACTCCTATTAATAAAGAAGTAGAACAGTTATTGTATCCCTCCTTCACGTCAGTTTCTGTCCATCTCTGTGACACGACCATCCCTCCCTCTCTGTGTGTGAATGTGACTGTTGAGTCAAACTGATGTGGAATTATTTGGAGGAACAGTTTGACAGCTGCAAGCCGTAACTTCAAGGTGTCGGTTAAGTCAAACTCATTTTAATCCATGAAAAGGTTAGAGTGTTTTCTAAATTACACCCTTAAATCACATGATCCATTTGAGTTTGTCTTACAGCACAGTTAACCAAACATTAAACTGTCAATGACTGCAATCTGTCATATGCGTACTTTATGTATGTCATACAAAAAGCAGTGTTTACAGCAGTTGTAGTTGGGATGTTTTACATTCTAACAGACAACAGAGCTTTATTCTTTGCTTGTACTTAGCCGCACTAGCATCATGGCTGTAGTGATGGCGATGTCTGTCAGCTGGTCCACCACTTTGGTCCAGACTGTAATATCTCAATAATTTGATGGATTGTCATCAACATTATTGACAGACCTTCAGGGTCTCCAGATGATGAATCCAGCTCCAGCTTTGCCGATCTCCGACCTTTCCTTTAATGCCACCAGCAGTTTGACATTTGTGTTTTTTAGTGA